GCCTGAGTTTTCTCCCTTCCAAAATAGGATGCTTCCTCCTGGGGCAGGTGTGAGGGTTCCCCATTGGGAGTACTTAGCACCCATTTAACATGAGCACTCCCAGGAGCACAGGCTCCTTGGATCCTCGGCTGCCTCCTCCTGGCCGTCTGCTCTGTGCTGAGGAGGTTGCTGGAAGCACGGCAGCAGCCCTCCCTCCCAAGTCCTCTTGTTTTTTCCACCCGGCAAAGTGCCCAGATCAGCCCCGCTCTGTGTGGTATGGGAGGGGCGTGGGCGGGCCCGGACCACAGGTTGAGGGGTTGGTGCGTGACGCACTGCCTTCGCCCTGACCTCCTGCTGCCTGTGCAGAGGAGGCCTTGTTTAACGACACACGCCACACACCGGCAACACACTCAGCCTGATTCAGACTTTTGCATCACTCTTGGCAGCAACTCAGTCTTGGAAGGGATGGCTTCCTTCTCTCATGCATGTGCGCCCGCATCCCCAGCTGTCTGGTCTGGGTGGTGTAGGGAGGAGAGAGAGCTCAGGGCTTAGGATGCCAAAGCCTGCTTCCCTCCCAGTGTTCTGGGTCCCCCCTGCCCGGTGCCTGGAGCTATTAATAACACCTTAAATGAGATGGGCGTGAACGGGATCCCAGCTGCCCAGCCCAGTGCCTCCCTGACACATGGGGGCGTGGGGGGCAGAGTAATCATAGCAGACACTGATACAGTGCTCACTGTGTGCCAGCACGCTCCTAGTAATTCACGTGATGTTCATGTGTTAACTCATTTCATATGGTAGGTCCTGTTATGGTCTTATTTAACAGATAGGAAACTGAGGCTCAAAGGAATTAGAAACGTTGCCGCGTTCACACACCTGGTAAGTGGTGGAGCTTGTGGAGGGCACGATCCCTTGGGGTCCAGGGCTTGTGCCTTCCCTCCTGTCCTCATGTCTGCCTTGCTGGTGAGCAGTCCCTCAGGCCCCTGGGTTGTGTGTCTTTCCTCTTCCCTGGGTCGGCGAGGCTCAGGATGCTGACTACTCCTGAGTCTTTTTGTGTGGCCCCATGATGGAAGGTTTGGTGTGGGGAAATGAGGGAGACCATCCCTCTTCCTTCCAGGTTCTGGCAAAGACAGAGAGGCATGGAACAGTATTTGAGGAGAGCTCCTGCATCTCCCTTGTTGCCACTGTAACTTAGAGGCCCCCTCCCAAGTGGTAGGCTCTGTGGCCTGGCCCCTGGCCCCTGCCGTGCCTGGTCAGTGGCCTTCCCTGTTACATTGCAGTCCAGCACATGCAACAATTGACCTTTTCCAGGGTGCAAGAGAGTTAGAGGCAAAACAGCGGTAAGCCCAGGCAAGTCACAGGGTCCATTCCAGGCTTAGCATGGCCTCAGAATATTTCACAATCCCTTAGAGGCATTCCTTGTCTAAGGCCTGGTGGCTGTTTAGTGAGGAGAGCCTTCCTTCCTTCAGACTCGGGCCCTCAGGGCTGTGGTCCCAGGCCCTTTGGCCTCCACTGTCCTTGTCTGTGCCAGAGAGCTAGCAGCCTTTCCTGTGGGCTCTCTGGCTTCTGATTGAACCTGCCGCCACCACCCCTCTGCTGGTGGCCCCGGGTGGCACCCTAGGAGCCCAGTTTTCTCTCCCGGTCTCTGCTCTGGCTTGGAGCTCGGGCACCTGCCCTGCTGTTCTGTACTTTGCCCTGCTCTCCAGATTAGCACATTCTTGATTACCTGGCTCCAGGCTTTCAGCACTGCGCCCGTCTGCAGGGCCTCTGGCTCTTCGTGGCTCTTCGTCTGTGATGTCGGCCACCCTGCCCGCTTGACCTGGCTAAAGGTCTTGTCATCACTTGGGCCAGTTTTCACCTCCTTTCAGGGATTTCTGATACGTGCACCTGGATGTCAATTACTGGTCTTCATGGGAAATTCTTACTGTGTTTCTCTCAGAATTTAAAAATACTACACTTTTCAACTTACATATTTTGCTAAATTGAATCCCGTGTTACAGATGAGGAAACCCTTTTCAGAAAGGTAGATTGGCTTTTCTCACACAAGCTGAGAAGTGCAGAACCGGGATGCGAGTTGTGTGTGATTCCTAAGGCGATGTTCTGTACTAGGACCATCCGGCTCCTCTACCAGATGAAGAGCTGAGTGTCTGGCTGGAGGGGGAGCGTGGCCCCAGGCTTTCTGGCTGCACATTCTCTTTTGCCTAATGCCACACACTCTAACATGTCTAAGGCAGAAAGAGCAGAACCTGGAGTGTGTGCTCTGAGCTCAGGAGGGGCGGAGGGCGCGTGCTGGGGTTTGGGCCTCGTGCGTCCTCACTTAGCACAGTTCTGGTTGCGTAGAGCGTGGAGCTGGTTCCCAGGTGGTGGCCACCGGGCCACAGACAGAAACCCCGCCCGCAGTCTTGCTGCTGGCTTGTACGGGCTACGTCAGTGCACTCCAGCCTCGACTCAGAGGGGCCAGAGAGGGCCCTGTGCTGCGGCGGGGCTGCTGCTGGTTTACAGTGACGGGCGCCCATCTGAGCACAGCACCTTGGAGGTGTTATTTCGTTAGATGCTTACAGGGCTCTGTGAGGGAGGGGCCGGGCAGGTATTGTACCCCAACTCAGAGATGCACAGCAGGCTCAGAAAGGGAAACCTCTTCAAGGCTGTGCAACCAGAAGTGAACAGATTCCACACCCAGGCCTGTCTCTCCACTGGAAATCCAGGACTGCTTGTTGCCTCTGAGTCAACTTGACAACTTTCATTCTTCCTCTGGTCCTCAGTTCCAGTGTGTCTGGAGGGGGTGGGAGAGGTCTCTCGTGTTTGATTGCTCTGAGGCCTTTTGCTCCTGAGCCTTGGAACTTATCAGTCTTCAGCACATTATCTCGCTGGGTTATAAGCAGTTTCTGTGTGTCCGCCTCCCCTCGTGCCCCACACCCCGCCAGTCTGAGTTCTTTTAGATCAGGACTCTTCTCTTTGCTCTTGGCAGCCAGCACAATGTGTGGCCCGTAGTAGGAGCTCAATGCATGCTCGTTGAGTTGAGTTACATGCAAATGAAAGTGGTCGGCACCTAGACCTGTTCTGTGGTCCATCCAAATGAAGTTGAAGGTGACAGAACTCAGGGCCTGTGCAGTGTCCACAGATGGCCACTAGGTGGCAGTGTCGCCCCATGGGGACCTCGTCTCCTGTCTGCTCTATCTGGGCACCAGTTGGGTGATTGCCTCTGCAAAGTCAGTCTGCAGTTGGCGGGCCCGCCTGACAAGTCCCAGCCTCCACCCCTGCTCTACAAGCTGCATGGAGTCGTGGAAAAGACTTGGGCTTCGGAATCCACCAGGCGTGGGTTCCAACCCTGGCTTTGCCTCTCCCCGGGAACTTAGCCTTGCACGCTCTGCTTCTCTGAGTCTCAGTTTCCTCATCCCGTAAAATGGCAATTGTGTATTTAGAAAAGGCCCAGCATATCATGGACCACAGCACTAGTGAACGTAGTTTTACTGTTGGCAGTTCTTGTGATTGCCTTTCCCTGCCCTCTGTGAAATCTGGCCTCACCCTGGCTGAGGGATCTTACTCACCGAACTTCATGCCCATTCTGGCAGGTCCCTCCCTTTGCATCGCCCACCCACTGAAGCTCTGTTCCTTCACAGTCAGTGCCCCGGTTCCCACCCTGTTCGCTGCCTGCACGCCTTCCCTCTGCTTGTCTGTTTGCTTCTCAGCCCGGCTGTGTCCTGCACACTCTGGCATCTAACTCTACTGGGCAGGGCTCACCTTGACTTCCCACGGAGGTGTCAGTTTGTGAGGGTTCTTGTTGCAATGATTTTGATGTCTCTGCTGTGTAATGAAAGTGACAGCTACCATTATGGAGCACATGCCCCGCGTGCTGCTAGACGCTTTGCAGAATTGTTTCCTTTAATCCTCACGACAAATCTATCCCCATTTTACAAAGGGGTATATCAAATGCCTTGGCTCTGAGCAATAAAAAAAATTCTCCTAAGAGGGGTTTAAAAAGTAAGGAAAGATTGTTCTCTCACTAAAAAGCAGTCATGAGGGATGCTTGGTGGTGTCACCAAGGATCCAGGCAGTCGCCACCTCTCCTGGTTGCATTGGTTTATGTTCTTAGGCAGGTACCCCTTACGGTGCCAAGAGAACTGCCACGGCTCTGGTGCTGTATGCAGGGGAGGTGACGCAGGGTCCTGGTGCTCCTTTAAGAGGCCTCTCGGCAGATTTCCTACAGAGTCCTTCTTGGCCAGTGTTGGGTCTTAGGCTTGTTCCCAACTAATCGCTAGTAGAGGGCCTGGAATTACTGAGACCGGCGTGGACTAGTCAAGATGTAGCCCCTGAGGCTGGTGAGGGATCCAGGCTCCTTTAATGCCCCTGGCCACCTGGTCCATGCAAGAGGAAGGGACGTGAGGAACACCCGTGAGTTCAGAAACTTGCTCAAGGTTGTACCCCTAGCGAGAACTGGGATTCAGAACACATCGGGCTGACTCCTGAGGCTCTCTGTTGCTTGAAGGAAGTAAACCTCAGACGTAGAAAGAACATTGCTCTGGATGTGGTGTGCTGGGTTTGAGGGATTGTGGAGGTAACTTTTCTTGTTGAGTCTGGAGTATCTCCTCTCGCTAGGCCTCTTTCCATTGTTGTGTTGGTTTTCCTCAGTCTGTCTGTCTCTCTCTGCCTCCTTTACCCCTTGTCTTCTAGTGTCCAACTGCTGCCTGCCTTCTAGAATAGACTGCATGCCCCTGGCTGGGGAAGGGCCCAGCTGGACAGAATGGTCAAGGCCTGGTCTCAGTGTAGCTGTCAAGGCCCTGTGAGAGGTCATCTTGAGGTTTCTTTTAGAGCAGGGAAGGGAGCTGCAAAGCTCTCAGTCAGGATTTAGGAGAAGGAGAGGCCAGGAAAAATGCCGAGGGGGCTGGTGGGGGACGAGTTATGTGGAGTTTGTGGTATGTCACTGGGCATGTGCACTAGGGCCTTGGAATGGGCCCGTGTGGAGCAGTAGCCTGCTGTCCCCCTGCAGAGACAGCACATTACCCAGGAGGCTGTTTGCCTTGTAGATGCTTCAGGACTGCCCCAAGGCCCGCCGCGAGGTGGAGCTGCACTGGCGGGCCTCCCAGTGCCCTCACATTGTGCGCATCGTGGACGTCTATGAGAATCTGTACGCGGGGAGGAAGTGCCTGCTGATTGTCATGGAGTGGTGAGCAGCCCTGCCTGTGCCCACTCCCTGCTCGGGCCCCTACCCTCTGAGGGCTGCCTGGGCTGGACCCTGAAGCCTCAGACGTCACTGCTGGATTCTTTGAGGGCAATGGAGAGGAGTGGCAGGATGCTGTGCTCCCCGGACCTAATGCTGCCTTTGTTTCAGTTTGGATGGTGGAGAACTCTTTAGCCGAATCCAGGACCGAGGAGACCAAGCATTCACAGAAAGAGGTAGAGAGGGTTTGTTGTGGGGAAGGCCTTGCGCAGGCAGGGCAGCGGGTGTCTGAAGGGGCCCTCCACAATGCCTGCTCTCATGGAAGGTGCTGAGGCCTGCTGCCTCCTCCAGCTCGCTGCCAGGCTGTCATCCTCAGCTGAGCCAGGGAGCTCTTGGTTTCTCGGTTTCTGGGGTGGGTGGTGGATGGAGGGAGCCTTAGTCTGCATGACGGGAGGGCTAGTTTGTTGACTTGTCAAACTTAATGACACATCTTGTGACTTCTTTCCCTCTCCTACCTCTCTTCTCTGCAGAAGCGTCGGAAATCATGAAGAGCATCGGGGAGGCCATCCAGTATTTGCACTCAATCAACATTGCTCATCGGGATGTCAAGGTGCCAGCTGTTTATTACCCTCCCCCCAATGCAGGTGCTGCACAGGCCATGGGGCACGGGGTGATGGTGACCCTAGGAAAGGTTGCCCAGTCTTTCTGCATCCTTGCTACTCGGTTCCTGAGGCAGAGTGGGGCAGGGCGCCATTCTCCGCCCCACAGGGCCTGCCCTCTCTGGGCAAACCCCGAAACCTGGGAGTGAAGCCTTCTGTGGCCACGCTCAGCCCTCTGGTCCTCCTCAGTCAGCACCTCACTGTCACCCTTTGGCTTCTGTGTCCCTGTGGTGTTCATTGCCGGTTCTCTGCGTTAATCTCTTCTCTCCAAGCACTCTGTAAGCTCTCAGAAGGCAGGGAGCTGATGTTCCATGTGGCGTGCCGACCCTTGGGGCTGGACACATGACTGTTGAGTGCATGAAGGCAGGCAGGCGGCGTCACCCTTCTCATCTCTAGTAGCCTTTCAGCTTCGGCAGGGTTGTCATTTACCTGTGTCTCTTTCTGTAGCCTGAGAATCTCTTGTACACCTCCAAAAGGCCCAACGCCATTCTGAAACTCACTGATTTTGGCTTTGCCAAGGAAACCACCAGCCACAACTCTTTGACCACTCCTTGTTATACGCCGTACTATGTGGGTGAGTCTGGAGGAGGCCCAGGGGCTCGTCTTTCCAGAGCTTTTCTCAGACTGTCCTCTTGCAGGTCTCAGGGGCCACAGGTCCTAGGGGAGTCATGTCTTCCAGCCCTTCCTGGGCTGGTTCTGATGCGACGGGCCAGAAGTAGGGCTCGTCAGAGTTGAGCTGGGATTGAGGCATTCTAGGGAGTTCTCCGCCTGAAATGATGGCAGGATTTTGTGCACACATGCACTTTGCTGAGAAGAGCCATTGCTGCTGTCAGATTCCCTCTGGAGTCGGGCTCAGATTGGGTTCTGCAGCCGCTGCTGACTGGCACAGAATACCCTCAAAGCACGATTGTCAAATTAGATGGACACTGTGGGTCTGAAAGGCTCTTGCAGTTCAGGAATTGTTTCATCTTAAGATTCCAGCCTAGGGCTCCTCCTGGAACAGGGTCTGCTGCTCCCCTCCGTCCATCTCTGGGGCTGGGTGATGGCTCTTCCCCCTCCTACCCCTAGTCACTGTCCCAACATCATGGCTGAAGGGTTGGGACGGGGGCATTATCCACAGAGAAACTGGAGACGATCTCAGTGTCCTGAGGTCCAGGCCTATCCCTGTTGACCTTTGGTTTGCAGCTCCAGAAGTGCTGGGTCCAGAGAAGTATGACAAGTCCTGTGACATGTGGTCCTTGGGTGTCATCATGTACATCCTGTGAGTATGCTGGGGAGCCACCCGGGAGGGGCCAGGGCTGGACTGGGCTTGGCTGGGTGGAGGCCTGTACTTCTCCAGGAGGAGAGGAAGAGGCAGAGGTTAGCATTCTCCTCTGGGTGGGGGAGTCCCTGGGAATCCCCTGCTAACACGGCTTAGCAGATTCTGATAGCTAAGTGGTGGGTACAGACTAGCTAACGGGCAGGAAACGGTGCCATGTAGATACTCGGTATGCTGGATTCCCGGGCCCTGCCCTCGACTTGCTATATTGTGCCTGAGTCAACGAGTCCCGATTTCTCTGTGACCTTTACAAGAAGAAGCCTGTTTTTCACTCTGTTCCTGGTGCAGGGCCCCAAAATAACACCAGCTCTGTCCCTCTCTTCCTGCTTCCTCTCGGCTCAGGCTGTGTGGGTATCCCCCCTTCTATTCCAACCACGGCCTTGCCATCTCTCCGGGCATGAAGAGTCGCATCCGAATGGGCCAGTATGAATTTCCCAACCCTGAATGGTCAGAAGTATCAGAGGAAGGTAAGGAGCCCAGTGAGCATGCCTGTGTGTGCGTGTGCACGCTCCCTCGTGTCCCTGTGGGCATCCGTCTCACGTGGGAGGTGTAGTTATGGGTTTGCTCCTGTGCCCACACCTTCTGGTATGCCCTGCCTGTGTGAAGGGCCTGGTGTGGGCCAGGCGCACGGGCTGTGTAGGCCCTGCCAGGCGGTGTAGCCATGATGGGCCTCAGGGCCATCTCCTTAGGCGGTCTGCCTCCACGCGACCCCCCTTGAAACCTGGTTTCTCCCCGAAAACTGTGGGAAGAAACAGGGGAGGAGAGTGGCTCCTGAGCTGGCTCTGTCTCCTGCCCCACCCCCACAGTGAAGATGCTCATCCGGAACCTGCTGAAAACAGAGCCCACTCAGAGGATGACCATCACGGAGTTCATGAACCACCCCTGGATCATGGTGAGCCTGGCAGGCTGGAGAGACCTGGCTGCCTGGGACTGTCCCTTGGGACGGGGGCTTCGCCAGGACTCTGCCCTGCCCCAGGCTTTCACCTGGGCCCCTTTTCTCTCCCCTCAGCAATCAACGAAGGTCCCTCAAACCCCACTGCACACCAGCCGCGTCCTGAAGGAGGACAAGGAGCGGTGGGAGGATGTCAAGGTGAGGGGAACCGCTGCCCGGAGGGGCTGGGGAGGCGGCTCGTGGGGGCGCCCAGGTGTGAGCAGGGGTGCTGGCCGGGGAGGGTTTGGTTCTGCATCCTCTCATGCCAGGAGATGGCCGTCACAACAGCAACAGTGACTCTGAGCCACTTCCCTGGCCAGGTTGTGGGCAGAGGATTCTGTGTTCCCGTCTAAACTGGGCCGTGGCTGTTTCCTCCCAGCCCTCTACTTCCTGGGTCTCTAAAGGGACCTGAGAGGCCATCTGGTCCCATCTCATTTTGCAGATGAGGAAACTGAGGCTCAGAGAGGGGGAGTGACCTGTTCACGGTCACACAGCTAGTGACTGGCTGAGGCCGCCAGAGCCCAGGTCTCCTGACTCCTGGCCCGGGGCTCTTTCTGCCTCCCTACAGGGCCGCCCGTGGCTCTCGGAGAGTGGTGGCCGTGCTGTGCCCAAGCCCTGGTGGCACTGCCGGGGCTGGGGCTGCTCTCAGCCCTTGACCTGCTGACCAGCCTGTCCTCTTCTCTTTGCTCCACTCTGACCCCTCCTCCTGCTCTCCTCTGTGGCTCTCGTCTCATGTGTCTCTCTTGGTGCCACCCCCTGCCCCCAGGAGGAGATGACCAGTGCCTTGGCCACAATGCGTGTGGACTACGAACAGATCAAGATAAAAAAGATTGAAGACGCGTCCAACCCTCTGCTTCTCAAGAGGCGGAAGAAAGCGCGGGCCCTGGAGGCCGCGGCCCTCGCTCACTGAGCCGCCGAGCCGTCCTGCTCCGCTGGAGGACAAGCAATAACTCTCGACCTGAGTCTGTTTTTTAAATGAAGAGACACAGAACAATCCACTTCCACCTCCCCTCCTCCTTGGCTACATGGAGCCCTGAACCTCGTCAGAGGCTGAATTCTGTCTTTGGTTCTGGCCACCCCAGAGAGGGAGAGGCTGGGTGGTGGGAGGGCGTGGAGAGAAGGGAGCAAGAGGCTCTTGAACCTGTGCTCATTTTGCAATTTTAACAGTAATTTGACTTAGAATTTTTATGAAACTTCTTTTATTGTTCTTTTCCCCACTTCTCCTCTCCCGCAAACCCCTTCCGCTCTCGATACTGCAAGGGTTTGGGGTTTGTTAAAGGGTATTTGTGGAGACTGGTACAGGGAGTGGCCCTGTGTTGTCCCATCTGCCCTCTCTGTTTTCCCACTACAGCCTGAGGTCCCCGCTGGCTGAGGCATTCCGGGAGCTCAAGGCCATGGAGGGCTGGGGCCAGGATGCCACCCACCTCCTCTACTGGAGCCCTCAGACATCACCAGTGTGCTGGATGGATAGGAGTGAGTGTGAGTGTGTTTGTGTGTGTGTGTGCGCCCATGCACGTGTGCCTGGATCTGTGCCTGGGACTGTGCATTTGAGGGGTCAGGGGCAGGCAGGGCTGCAGAGGGAGGGGGCCCTGCTGTGGCTCAACAACCTTCGCCCTTCTTGGGCCTGCCTTGCCCATGCTGGGCCTACCCTGCCCATGCTGGGCCTGCCAAAGTGCCTGGGAAGCCTGTCCAGATTCTGAGCCAGGCCCTCCAAGGCCTGCCTCTGTTCACTGGTTCCGGGAGGTGGAGAGGAGTGACTAGGCACTGGTACAACAATCAGGAAGACTGGACCCCCCCCCCATCCCTAGGACCCCCACTCCCCATTTAGTGCTGGTCCGAGTCCTCTGAGGCGGTGACCTACAGTAACCTCTCTACCTCCCTTCCCCGCCGTTATTAACCCATTCTTGTTTATTTCTCTTACGTTTTTAGCCGTTTCTCCGCAGGCCTCCTCTCAGCTCACGTGTGTGAGCCTGGCCAGTTTATAAGTGACACAAAGCTTCTGCGTTTTGAGTGTCTCTCCCGGGCTCTGGGGGCATCGGCCAGCTACCCCTTGTGGGCAAAGGCAGCGCCACTTCTGTGGTCCTCCCGCAGTTTCCATCGTGTGGCCTGTGGGTGGGTGGGGGAGTCTTTGCACCAAAGATGTCCCAACTCTGCCCCTCCCCCTCAGCCACTTACCCCCAACCCCAAACAACTCAGCTTTGTGTGTACAGGCCAGTGAGGGGAGGGGAGTGGCCCCCCCAGTGTTGGTGAGGAGCAGCATGGGGAGGGGTCCTCTGTACCATGGTCCCTTTGGGCCAGCGGGTGGCAGCAGTACTTCAGCTTTCATCTCCCTCAGGGGCAGGGCAGTGGGGGGCCCAGGGTCTCCTCGGGTTGTGAGGGAAGGGCTCCGAGGGTCTGTAGCGCCTCCCCGCCTCTGACAGTGTGTCCAGCACTCAGATTGTTGTAAACTGTCGTTGTTTTGTATAAGCGAAATTGTCTTTACTAAACAGATTTAATAGTTGAAAGGTTTTCCTTCTCTTCCTTCATGGGCTCAGCCCCTCCACTCCCACCTCTCCTCTTCCCGCACACAGAGTGGAGTGGTGTGTGGGGAGGGCAGAGGCAGCGCCTGCCCTGGTGAGGGTCTGGTGGGGGCGGGAATGCCGCTCTCCCTCTGCGCTGCAGGCGAGGCTCGTGCTCCTGCCCGGGACTCACTCGGCCGAGCTGCTTCTCGGCACAGGGTTCTTTGGCCTGTTTAGCCACAGTGGGCTGTGGCATCCTTGGGCTGGGGGATCCGGCTGGTGTCCGGGTCTGGGGAGAAGGGGGGCGTTGGTGATTGGTTCAAATCCTGGGAAAGAGACAAGGGGAGCAGGCTGGTGTAGTTCCTGAAAGTTCCAGGAGGGGGCGATGGGAGAGTGGCAGAAACCAAAATCCTCTGCCTCAGACGGGGAAGAGGCCTCCGTTCACGTGACCTGGTCCCTTCCATGCACAGATGGGAAGCCTGAGGCCCAGAGGTGGGATGTTTGAGATCACACACAATGAACTGGTTTTCGGTGTGGCCTAAGGTAGAAATTGGTCTCCTGACCCCTCTGTCCTCCCTCCCAGTCAGATGGGAAAATAGTGCGCTGTAGACAATTTCTCACCTGATCCTCAGAGCTGACGCGGAAGAGGCAAGGCAGGATGGCTATCCTTGGTTTATGAGTGAGGAAACCGACGGAGAGGATGAAGGAATGTGCTGGAAGTCACACAGCTAATTGGTGTGGACGAGAACTCGGGATCCCAAGGCCTGGGGTGTTCCCTGTCCTCAGATGCGGCCTCCTGTCTGGGGAGACTCCTGCTGTCCCCACAGTTGTCAGGCGGATCCTGGCTCCCCGCCCGGGCTCCGGGGCACAGGCAGGGCGGCCCCTGTCGCCCCTGGCCTCCCTCGTACCTCCTGAGTGGACTGCTGGAAACCACTGCTGAAATGAAGCAGCTTGACGTTTTGCTTTCAGGGAAATCCAGTTAGGTTGTCTGCCCTTACAGAGGTGTCAGCAGTGACAAGAACCTGGGGAAGAGGGGTGGGGGCAAAGGGGACAGGGGGGCTGTCAGCGTTCCGCTGTCTTTGGAGGCTGTATTAGTTTCTGTTGCTGCCATAATACATTTTGTGGCTTAAAACAGCCCCAATTTAACGTCTTATGGTCCTGGAGGTCACAGTCCGATGGGGCCTCCCTGGTCTGAAACTAAGGTCTCAGCAGAGCCACGTTCCTTTCTGGAGGTTCTAGGAGATTCTGCTGCCTCGCCTTTTCCAGCAACACCGCATGTCTCCGACCCTTCCTCTGTGGTCACAGCTCTGACCTAGCCAGGAAGGAGTCTCCACCGTTAAGGGCCCGTGTCATTAGATTGGTCCTACCCAGATGATCCAGGATGTCCTTAACCTTACTCCTATCTGCAGATTCCCTTTTGCCATATAAGGTAACATGTTCACAGGTCCAGGGATTGGGATGTGGGCCTCTGTGAGCCACTGCTCTGCCACTGAGGCCTGTCCTTCAGCCTTCTCATCCTCTTGCCCCACACGGTGACACTGGTGTTTGGCTTCATCCCCTGTCTGGGTCAGCCCAGCTCAGGCACCTTTGTGACCAGTGAGGGTCCAGCCTGGAGTTGGCTTCTGGGGAAGATGGCTGGAGTAAAGGGCCGGGAGGGCCCAGCTTGGTGAGTGCTTCTTGCCGGGCCTTTCCAGTCTTTCCTGTGCCCCTGACCTTCCATGCTGGCATGACCCTGCAATCCCTTGTCTTGAGGGAGAACTTAACCTCCCGCTACACTCCCAGATAGGCTGGCGATGGAACTTTTCCACCTAAAGGCAGATGCTGGCTTGCATGGGTGCAGGAGGCGACAGGATGTGATTGTTGAACACCCGCCCATGAGTGTAAGTGGTGTGAGATGTAAAGAGGGCTTACGAGCACTCGTAGGCCCCTAGTGAGTACCGATACTGTGCTGGGTTATCCCCTTGATCTCTTCACCGTCATAAAAGCCCTCTGGGTAGTCATTCTAGTCTCCATCTGCTTCCTAGGAGGAAACTTGGCCTCAGAGAAGTAAAGTGACTCTCCCAAGGCCTCACAACTAAGCAGATGCGAATCTGACCTGCTCTCCGGCTTCCAAGTTTAGAGCTTAAAAAAACCACTGAAGTCGTCATGCTAAGGACGAGGGGAGGGAAAGCCAAGAGAGCAACCAGCTGGATGCCCGTTCACTGAGCAGCGCCAGTTTCCCTTTCTATGAAATGGGGATGACATTCTGTGCCCTGTGGCTATCGTCAGGAATTCCACAAGATCATACATTTAAATGCTTTGTAAGATGCCAGGTGCCAGGTGGCCTTTATCAATATTGGAGTCCCATCCCCTGGTGGGCTGCTCTCCCGGGTTTGGAGAGGGGTGAGTGGTCTAGGCTGGGTGCAGGCTCCCGCCCTCAGCTGGAAGGTGTGTCTCTGTGCCTTAGGGTGAGGAGGCAGTTGAGTTGGTGAACAACAGCAGTAAATTTGGGGTTTTCCTTTGGCTGGGTTGGAGACAGGAAATGCGGAGGGCTGTGAATGACAAGTGGGTAGTGGGTAGGTCGAGTGGGTAGTGGGTAGGTCGGGCCTGCTCAAGGTGTGAAGGAAATTCAGTTATTCAAGGCAGGAGGGTGGGGTTGGTGAGGCTGGGGAAAGTCACAGTCCCACCTCAGGGGAATGTAAACAAACCTGCTGCGCGAATGTAAACAAACCCCAGGTGGCCAGAGTCAGGGTGGAGGCCACTTTGGGGGGCAGCCTCTGCACCTTCAGCCCTGGAACGCAGCCCCTTCCCGGCTCTGTCTCTTGAAGCCCGGCGGTTAGGGCCCGGAGCCGCGCTTTCGAAGGAGCCGTCCAGCCGGCCCCAGCGCTGGGGGGCCTTTTGGTGGATTCACCTACCTCTCCTCTCCCTGCACTCAGGGAGACCAGTGTGGAGAGGGCACCCGACATGCTAACTCACTGAATACCCAGGCCCTTACAGTATGCACTGTGCTTTGGGAAAAAACAAGGGTAAGTCTCGGTGCCTAGTCAGCGAGATACAAAGTATGTGGCAACCGTGAGAGGTCTTGTCTTTCCTTTCTCTGCATCCACGGGTCTGCACACGTCCTTTGTGGTCTGAATTGACCCATTGGAAACTGCTCCAGACTGTGAGGGTGGTGTCATGCAAGCCCAGGTGGCCCAGGTCAGCTGCTTAGGCCCCTAGTGGTTTTGAGACTGGATGGATAAGTGAGGTCAGAAGATCCTGGACCCCGGATCCTCGTTGGACGAAACCTGGCATCCATCCTTGCTGGGGATACCATCGATCCTCCCCCATGCAGGCCTGTGAGGAGCCGAGGCCGCTGTGCCGAGACGGTAAAAGATGGGAGGCACTGGCGTGGGTGTGCAAGGATAGGGCGCCTCCGGTGGCGCTTTGGCCTGCTCCACCCGTGCTGCTCTTTAAGACTCAGCCCCTCCCCCAGAATGAAAGTACCACGTTTTGATTCAACTCCTCTTGACTGTCTACCCTATGCAGTGCCCAGTGCTCAGTACTCTGGGAAGACAAAGAGGACTAAAAGGGGCTGTAGCCCTCCTGGGGCTCAGTCTGGAAGAGTAGCCAGCCATTAACGGGACAGAAAGCCTGGAGGACCAGTGCTTTCATAAAGCGGGATGGAGCAGGTGTGGGAGGTGGGGCTGTCTGAGAGAGACCAGGAGTGCCTCCTGAAGATCCTGGGAGCTGGTGCTCAAGAACAGTCTTGATGGGAGAAAGTGAGGGAACAGCACAGTGGAAATTTTCCCGTCAGAGTTCTGCGTGATTTCTGCAAGAGCCAGATCCTTTCTTCTTTGAGTCAAGGTTCACCCTCCGTCTTCTGGTCTGCACTGCTGTCTGCTCATCGCTTCAGCCTGAGCTTCAACCCCCTCGGTTCTGTCCATGGGAACCCTGATTGACCCCCTCAGTGGGGCGTTCTCAGTGTTTTCTGTCCGTTGTCTCGTCAGTGCCTCCAACCTGGATACCCCTCCTTCACCGTGTCTGCTTCCCCACAATCAAAATTTGGGAACGTGGTCTGAGGGGTTTCCCCACCTCTTTTTCAGTTCATTCATTTTAAAGAAGCCTTGCAAAGCTGTACCTTACACTTAGATCAGTTTTAGTTACACATTTTGGAAATCATTTTAGGAAAGGCTCACATTGCGTGAAATTGAGGGAGGTCCTCCTGGAAAGTTGGGTGAGTGGTGGTCAAGGGCTTGCTTGCTCCTCTCCTCCCGAGTGTAGCCGAAAAAGCTGTGGCTCTTTGCTGGCATTTCTCACCCTGCTCATCGCAGGCCTCGCACCACTCTGAGTGTGTTAACCGTGAAGCCCTTGGCAGCTTCCCCGTTACAATACAAACTCAATGTATTTAAGCTTCCACGCTTTGTATTTTTCACGCACCAACATCTCATCCTGGCGTTGCCTTGGAATGCACATCCCCCTCTGGAGGGAAGAATTGCTGCTCTAAAGGGCAGGGACTGCCCAGGGCCTCTGGCCAGGCGGTCTTTCTGTCAAGCCTGCAGGACTTCAGGTGGGGCTGCTGCTGAGGGGCAGGGGACCTGTGTGTGGTAAGTCATTTTTAGGGGCCAGGGCTGCCATGCAAATGCACTCATTTGCATAACTTTCTTGCTCTAAGGGACAGTAAAGTTTCCTATCCCATGCGACACCCATACCAGGATTTGCAAGTGAAATATTGGACTGGCTTTCCCCCTTTGCCATCCCCCCTCCCTTCACGAGTTGTCTCCTCCCCAAGGGTTTTGTTTCTGGCCAGTCAGGCCCTGTGTGACCAAATACTGGTCTTAACCTCTCTGATCCCGGGTGGAGCAGTGTTCCTGGGACACTGAGATGCAAAGCTGTCTGCAAAGGTTATGCAAATAAGCCCCGGTTGGGGCATCTCTGGCCCAAGCCCAGGCCAGTCTTGGGCTCAGGCGCTGCTGTTTGAAGCCATGTGAAACGTGATCGTGGTCCTTCCTCAGGCCGGGCAGCTGCGGGTGTCTTGTTCCTCAAAC